ACACATATATCTTTTCTTCCCTTTGTAATGTGCTTATAAAACTATGATCATTTTTAAAATAAGAGCTTTACAGCACATTACTTTTACTGAAGATAGAGAGAAACAAGTAGAGGTAAAGTCTAGCTGCCAAGTTCTTTATACAAAGCTTTTTTCGAACCATCAAGTAAGAATCATCCTCTTCATTTGATACTTTCCTATTTCATCCAGTCAACCACCTGCCATCAAGTCGATTCCAACTTATGGTGACCCTATGTATGTCAGAGTAGATGTGCTCCACAGCATTTTCAACGGCTGATGTTTTTGGAAGCACATCACCAGGCCCTTCTTCTCAGGAGACTCTGGGTGGACATGAGCCTCCAATCTTAGTTAGCAGCTGTATGCATTAACTGTACCACCTTGGACTCTCCTTCCTATCTCATCCAACCCATCCGAACAAGATCCACCAAAACTTCCAAAAGGGCAAGCAGAATATATAAAAGAAAAACAAAAAAAAGGCTACAGCTTCCATGATGTGTGCCTTTTACTTTTAATGGGTTCCTTGTATACGTTCTCTTGAGTCTCCAGAGCAGTGGCTCTCACACTCTCTTCACCGCAACCCAAAACATATGCACATAAAACGAAATTACAGTTTTATGAGTCTGATGAACTGAAATTTTCTGTTTTAGTTTATTTGCCTGCTAGTCATGTTCCATTAAATGAATTTACATGGCCCACAAATGGGTTAAGACACTCAGTTGAGAAATACTGGCTTAGAGAGGAGCAGATATTCCTTTATATGGAAAGATGATTTCTAGTATTTTATTTGAGCAAAGTACTTATACTTAATAATACGGACATGTCAGGAGACATTTTAGTAAGAAAATGTTTACCTATTTTAAAATGATCCCAAGTTTCAGACCATTATGAGTTAAGAAAAAATAAAGTTATCTTTTACCTTAAAATAGGAATTCTCCCATTTTCATAACAATAATTCCTGCCGGAATGCAAGAAATCACTAAAATGCTGAATGACGTAATCAGCTCTTTCCCAGAGAGCTCATCAAATACAAATATGTACCCCTTTCTCTAAAATTTACCTGAAGTCGATTTTTTCTTTTTTGAGATAAACTTGCTCTAGCAGTCAATCAAGGATTGCCTAATAATTTGCAGGAAGTCTAACAGGCGGTGGTTTTAAAGTCTGTTCAAGCTTTTATTATATGCTATAATTTTTGTTTAGCTGGTTTACAATTTCTGTTTAGCAGCCCTTGTTTCTGTTCCTGCTGTGTCCATTGCTGTTTTTGTCTCTGACCTTCCAGAACTAAAACTTTCAAGAGCAGGGAATAAATTTTCACTTCAAAAAGCTGGAATACTTTATTAATCAAATCATCCAATATAGGAATGCTTTTATTTTTAGGCTTTAAAAATAACTAAGTGCTTTGGCCTGTATGGCTAAACAATCACATTCATCTCTCTGTGGGATTTTCGATATGCAAAATTTCAAATATTATCATTTGGTATCATATTTGTACTAAGAAATTAACAGTATTAAAATTTTTTTTATACACATGTAAACCACATGTAAAGGGTTCTTCCAGCAATTTATGGTGAAAAAAAAAAAAAACAAAAACCTTAAAAAAAAAGCAGTATATCAACACTGATTGCGGGTGTGGCTAAATAGCATTATACTGCAGAATTTAAAGAAAGAAAACTAAG